CCTACAGACTTTCCACCCTTTGTTTTCTTTAAAGCCTCCTCAACTTCTTTTTTGCTAATGCGACGGTAAAAATGAAACGTTTTATTATTATTTACGATATTAAAATCACTAAGTTCGATCGTATTTTCAGAAACTTCATTAAAAAGTTTATCAAAGTAACTCACCCACCTATGTTGAATATCTTTTTCTAAGAAAAGTACTTTTTGATTTTCATCTTTAATACACTTTACTTGAGTTAAATCTTTACTTTTCTTTTCTCTTTGTTTGGCTAGTTTAAACTACACCATACTAAAATTTTATTGATTGATCAAGGCATTAGGTTATACTTGTAGTAGACATGAATGCAAAACTTAAACTACGATAAATATGATGCAAATCATCTTAGGATCTAGGGTTTCATGCCTGCCATCCTAAATATGGGATCTCTTCATATCTAGAAATACATAATTTTAGTGAGCTCCTTCATATTTCATCAGTTCTTTTTGAAAGCCCTATTAATTCATATTATAGCCGGTTTCTTTCTCTCCCCATTTTCTCCCTATTTTTCTTTCATTAAGCAACAAAAATTTAAATTCAATAATTAAGGAATTCTTTTGAGTGGATCATGCATTTTTCTGCATGACCCTTGTTTTAAAACCGTGCTTAAGCTTGCTAATTAATTTTCTTATTAAATTTTGGCCCAAACTAAGTTATGATCAAGCTTAACAAACTTTATGTAGGAGGTTAATTATTTAAACATATGATCATATGGCTAAACATAAATGGAATCATACTTTTCACATTAAAAAATGATAATAATTCACTTCGTAGTATTTTTAATGTTTTATGAATAATAAACTATATTTCTAACCTATCAATCTAACTATTTTCCAGTATTTGCATCATGTAGAGACACCTGATAACACCCATGGAGTTAAAAGAGCATTTCATCAAGCTTTTATTGAGCTAAAAGTCAAATAATAAACCAAAATATGCTCAAAATATACATGATCTAGTGAACCAATGGTCAATCTTGTTCATTTATATGTCTATCTTTACGAAGGAACATAAAGAATGCTTATGTGAATAATATTGAGATATCCAAATGCATTAGTTCATTAGGATCCCTATTCTAATGTATTAAAAAAAAATGATTAAATAAATTTAATTGATATTTTTTAATAAAAATAAATAATTTTAAGGGATATGAAGCCATAGAACATCCATCATTTAGAACTTCCTTGCTTGAAATATCAAAACTTGTATGCCTAAATATTTAAAACACACACACACACACACACATTGATAGATAGATGGATAAATATATCTGTGTGTGTGTGTGCGCTCTTAGGTGGCAAATTGGTAAGCAGCAGTGTTGCCTCTAACCCGGGTTCAATCTCTACGGGAATAGATGACACATATGGGGAGCTGGAGTGATATTCTCAAATACCAACTTTTATATATATATATATATATATAGAAGGGAGGACCCCCCAATCAATCCCATGTGCAAATTCGAATCCTGTATGGTCAAGGATTCGAACCCGAATCGAGAGGGGACTCACGCAGAGCCGACACCAACTCACCTACAACCGATGCACAAATATATATATATATATACATACATACATACATACATATATATGGCAATCCTCGTCCTTGTTTTCGCTTTGCTAGGGTTCGCCTATAGCGATCCCTGGTTTTTCTGATTCACTGCATTTTCGTCGAACTGTGTCGTCTTCGTCTCTAGTCTTGTCACAGAGGCTCTGTTTCGTCGTCCCGATTCAGCGGCTCTCTCGACAGGTCGTCGCGCTCAGAGCGTTTATTCAGCGGGTTGTCTGTGCGGACGTCTGCGGCTCTTCGTCGTCCCGAGAAGTGCTTGGGGGAGTCTCTTAGCTGCCGCTAGCTGGTTTTCTTTTCGTTTGCAGCTCATAGAGGGGCTTTCCTCCACTCCTTGCTCTTTGTTTGGTTTCGTAATTTGCTCTTTGCATCTCCATCTATTGGGATGACTTCGGACAGATCGTATGTTACTGCCCTTGCGGATGCCCAAGCCTCAAGTACACCTAAATCGTGTTTTTTTCCTCCTTCGTTCGAGTCGGAGGAGAACATTAATAAACATGGTAGGAAGAATGAGAAACCTGCAATCTTTTTACGAAAGCTGAATGTATTCAGCTTGCTTCCTCCTGTCATCTGAATTTGGTCGGGAAATTTTTATATGATCATCCCAAAATGAAGCTGATTCGTAAGGAATTTGAGCTTATGCACCTTGTTGGGGAGTGAAAAATTGGACTTTTAGATGGAAGACACTCTTATTCAACTTAATAATGAAGTGGATTACACGCGTTTATTTGCTAGAAGGATTATCTGAATTGATAATAAGACAATGAAGATTCTGAATTGTCTGTGGATTTTGACTTACAGACGGAACCACAAATCATTCCAGTTTGGATTCGCCTCCCTGGTATGAAATTTCATTATTTCACTCAAAAAGTATTGTACTCTATTGCCTCAACTTATGGTAAGTTACTTAAAACAGACATTCCTACTTTTAATCTTTCTTGCCTATCTAAAGTCAGAGTAATTGTTGAAAGATACATCAATTCATCCGCTTCTGAGGAGATTTGGTTGGGCACACATCACCATGAATATTGGCAAAAGGTAGTGATTGAGCCTTATTCTTCTTATTGCTCGAACTGTCGTATGTTTGGTCACTTTAGTTTTCAATGCCACCATCTATACCCCCAACTCAGACCAAAAAAGCAAAGCAGCTCCGCCAGAGGCAAAGAATCCAACTCCTCTTGTACAGCTCCAAGTTATTAACATTATTGATCATCAAAAGGATACCCCTGAAAACGTCACTATCCTCGCAGGCAATATGTCAACCATTCAGTCTTTACACAATGCTGTAGGTCCTCCATCTTTAGAACCTTCTATCGTGAGGGCTTGGGAGATTCTTCAGACCTCACCTCCTCCAGAACCTATCACTGATATTACAGGTGACAATACTTCTATTGTTTCACTCTTCAGACCTCACCTCCTCCAGAACCTATCACTGATATTACAGGTGACAATACTTCTATTGTTTCACTATCACCTCATCAGGTCGAGCAAAATGTTAATGTTACTCAGGCTCATGGGGATCACGATGTGCAACAGCCTACACCTATTTGACCACCTTTGGAACAATTCATCATATGAGTCAATCCTGGGATGAGAAATGACAGGTCTACACATCTAGGAGGAAGAAGAAGAATGAAGACCTACTTGAGCTTAAGAATCTGATGAACGATACTTTGGTTACTTCAGATAATGATACGCACCTTATCAATCTGTTAGTCGACTCCATTCCGAGAACTAGAGGCAGAGGAAGGATTAAAGTGGGACGCTCCTAGCACTTTTGCGCCCGTTGGTAGCTTTTTGGTTTTTTATCATTTTGTATCTTTGCTTTATTTGGAATTGTGTGTGTTGTATTGTGTGAGTTGAGCCTTTTTTTAGGCTCTCTCATACAACCTATCTGTATCTTTTCCTCTTTAATATATTAGTCCTTGGACTTTTTCTAAATATATATATATATATATATGTGTGTGTGTGTGTGTGTGTGTGTGTTGATTTATTTTTATTTATTTTATGATAGAACACTTCCTAAATATAAAAACTAAGCCTAAAATTAATTCTATGTTTTTAAATGATATAAGTATTTAAAAAAAATTACATTAAAAAATAAGGGAGATTTATATACATAGCACCTAAAACTATCAGTATTATGTATCTCACACCCAATTTGAATATTTACTTTTTAAGCACCCACTATCACGACATTAGAGGATCTCGCCAGAAGCGATAGTGGCATACAAAGTCCTTTGAAACTCTCATCGTTCTCTTCCATGGGTTCTGCGACGAGATCGATGAACAAAACCCTCATAAACTCTCATTTTTCCTCATTCGGTTCAACCACGATATGATAGAAACGGGATCACGACGTAAAAAGACCTCTGAAACATTCATTGTTCTCCTCCTGTACGGTGACAGCATCATGCCTCTGAAACTCTCTTGATTCTCTTCGTTCCTTCTACAATTTCTTAAGTCCCTTCATTCCGCTGTTTCGCTTTACATCCATTTCTCCGTTTCTGCCATGCACCCACACAAAACGGATTTAACTGCTTCTGCTTTCATCTCCATAACCAGCTTCAGATCTTCCTCAGAAAGACCATCGAGGGGCTGCAAATCAATCTTATTACAGACAATAACAAGAGGCTTATTCAAGAAGAGTGACTTGATGCTATGAAACAACGCTGCCTGTTGAGCAATGGTGTAGCCGCATGATCCAGATATATCGAGGAAGAACAGAACAACAGATCGAAGATGTGCTAATGTCGTGATGTTGCACATTTCGATAATATTGCGGTCCTCAAATGGCTGATCGAAAATCTCCAGTTTCAAAATCTTGTTTCTCCTCCGTTTTGGTCTCCGGTTGCTGTAATCCGAACTCCGACAACTTTTCCAGAATCGAGCAGCAGCGAACTTCATTAACTTAACGGGATTAGAAATTTAACAGTGAGGTGTGAATTTTGTTGTTATTGAATGTTTTGGATGCTAAGGATATAAATATTGAAGTTTAGGTGTGAGATATGTAATATTAATAGTTCTCGGTGCTATATATGTAAATACCCCAAAAAATAAAAATATCATATCAGATAGTATAATTAAAATAAAAGTATTAGCCATAGATAATTTATCTGTGTGCCCCTGCCAAAGAAAATTTGTCCCCACCACAGATTCCCTAGTGTGACTATATGAAGTAATACAAGAAAATCAACTTAAACAAACATGCATCTTGTCATCAAATATAAAAAACACAGATTTAATGGATGACTAAAAAAATTTAACATAGAAATTCAAGATCAATAAAACAAAAATTAATAAAAATTTAAGTTATAATCAGAAATCCATATTGCATGAGTTTGAACAATTTTCAATCACATAAGAAAACCAATGACTAAAAATGGAGAATATAAAATATCAAATAAATGGAGTCATTGAAGAGTAAACCCTAGTCTCGTGTCAATACATAAGATGGGTTCCCCCATAATTTGGTAGTCACCATTTGCACCACACTATAAAGATTCTCATCAAACTCAAACATAAAAAGAAACATAACACTAAAAGAAATTATTATTTTAAAACTACCACTAAATGCCTCATATACCCTTTATTCATAATTATAAAACCCCTCCTCAAATGAAAAATAAATAAATATTTATGAATAAGGCGACAGTCTCAAAACCAAAAAAATCATTGAAATCTGCTAAAGAGATTACAGCCTGAAATAGCATCCCATTGCAACTGCAATAGACAACCTCAAAAAAGTCACGCAAATGCCGGCTAAGTCAACAACAGGAACAAAATTACAAGTCACGACGTAAGCTACCAAATGAAAAAATCACAAGGCAATTTGCATCACTGTTATCGCTTGCAAAGAAGTAGAAAATACGAGCAAATAGTTTCTCTATGCACAAAGCAATTTCATAAGAAGTTGCACTCAATTTAAAATTCCAACTTGCAGTCTTAAAAAAGTATAGAACAATGAAAAGGTTATCGGCCATTAGAGACTAAAAGTTATAATTTAGTATTTTAAAAGCAGAAGGTGCAGCAAATATTATAAATTTTCCAACTTCAAATAGTTTACCTTCGGTCTGCGGATCCGGCAAAAATCTTTTTACACAATCAACAAAATTTGTTCCATTGAAGGGATCTCCACCAATACCTACACATGTTGATTGTCCCAACCCAACAGCAGTTGTTTGAAACACCTGAAAAGATTAGGAGTTAAATTTATATTCCATAAATCTGAAAGTGTGAGAATTTGTTTGATTCATACCGCTTCGTAGGTCAAAGTACCCGATCGTGAAACGACACCAATACGCCCTGGCTTATGGATATAACCAGGCATGATTCCAATCTTACATTCTCCGGGTTTAATAATACCTGGACAGTTTGGTCCAATAAGTCGAGTTTTTGATTGCCGGTTAAGAGCAGCTTTCACTCGAACCTACTTTAACAAATTCATATTAGAAAACATTAATGGAATAATAATATAGTTTATGCATGATAAGCACCGGAATCCTCAAGTCCTAATACAATGTGATCATAGTGCCAAAGATTCCTTGAAAACAATGTAAAAGGTCAATGTCATGAAGAGACAAGCAGGAAATTAAAATTATAATGCACTGGAAGGGACATAACTTAAAATTATGTCAAGCAATATTATGAACATGCCTTGAATATTCTCTGAAAAATAACTACAGAACCATAATATAACCAAGGAAGATTTACATACATAACAATCAATTCCTATGAGTTTACATATGTAAATACATAGGAATTGATTGGTATATATGTAAATGCCCCTAAAATCAATCCTCAAGTAAGCATCTTATGAGAGGAGATGCATTTATCTTATAGACAACATAGTTTGATTAGTAGTCCCCAACAGACAAAGTGATACCATTCGACATCAAAATTGGCACGCTATTCCACAAAAATTAGAGCAAACACAACATTTCTTCATTAATTCAAACAACTCAACAAGAATATAAAGATAAACACCTACAATTTGAGAGGTAGGCAATCTCTCCTAATTCATACAAATCAAGAGGCAGAAAATTTCTCTCAAACCCTAAACCTAAGACTCACAAGTCAATCTCATGCATAACCCTAACCCTAGACATAACAAGCCTATTTTGTACCAACCAATAATAATAATAATAAACTAAATTGCCCTTAGATGTACAAAAGACAAATTTGCCCTTAGGCTAGACACGCACGTAACAATACTCCTCCCCACACAAAAAATACCTTATCCTCAAGGTGGGAAAAAAAAGAGGTTCCTCCTCCCCCACAATTGTCCCTATTTCTTCATTCTATGCCTCTTCGTTATGCATTATGAGAAATTATGATTTTCGATCATTGCAATGGTGTCCTAGGGTAGACTTCTCATCACATTGAAAACATAACACCTTAGCTCATTTCCCCCAAATCTCTATCTCAGCAAGACACTTGAGTGTTGCTCCCGGTCATGGCCCATTATTCGTGCCCCGTGTAGCCTCTCTGTAGACTTTCACAGTTTGAGCTTTGGGTATCTTCATAGTTGTAATCATTCAATACGGTGCTCCCTCTGCGCTGCTTCCATTGGCCCTCTCCATTTGCTTCTTGTCCTCCACCCTCTGGACTAGCTCCATCATCTCTCTCTCAATCTACGTGGCCTTAATAGTCGGAGTGCTGCCTGTATATCAAGCTTTAAGCCCTTCATGAAATTTCCCTCCAATTCTGCTTCATAAATCCCCTACAATCCTGAAAATAGTCAAATCTCTCCCTATATTCCATGATCGTTTTCTCCTGAGTCAAGACATAAAATTGCTCGTGCAGGTCTCATTCCCAAATGACTCAAAAACGTTCCATAAACAATCCTTAAATTCATCCCACGATCAAATCGGATATTTAACCTCCCTCCACTAAAACTAGATTAGGGCTTTACCCTCCAAACACAAACATGCGGCCATGAGCTTCTCCTCCTCATCTAACCCATTCACCGCAAAGTATCACTCCAACCGATACACCCAACCATGTGTGTTTTCCACCTCAAAGATCGGCAACTTCAACTTACTAACCATATCATTTCCACCCCAACTTCCTCTCCCCTCCAATTTCCCCCTCATATATTGAGTGTAAAACTCCCTCCTTCGATCATAGTCATATCCTCTCCCTACTTCTCTCATTTCTTCTTCGTGTTCCCCCTTAACTCTTGCATAATCTCTTATTTATGTTTCGGTCCAACCGTCTTCATTAGAAATCTCTAATCCACCACCAATCAGAGCCATGGAAGGGGTTTCATGATGGTGGATGCTTTCCTCCTTATGCTCCTCTAGTACAATCTCTTTTCTTTTAGTTTTTGTAAATTGAGCCACCGACGAGGTCTTAAATCCCATCTCAATGAGTCTCTTTATCATCTCTCAAACTTTTCCCATACTCTCAAATCGGTCATTCATTCGGTTCTCCATGGAAAAAAATCTACCCTCTATGGTGGCGAATCTTTATTCCATCCCAGATCTGATTCAGCTAATCTCTTCCTCCAACTTTTTTTCTAAATCATCCACTTTTTTTGTTGTAATCTCACAAAAAAAAGTTTTTGGTCAAAAAACAAGAAAATACCTTCACATTAAAATCCTGTCAATTGATTCACGAGTTTGTATCGCAAGAACGTATGCCTATCATCAATCTAAATATTGTCGGTACAAGTAAATTGAAATACCGTAGCTTCGTACGTAAAACCACATTTGTAAATTGAAATTGATCATAGAAATCCTGTGTGCTGAAATCAAGAGCAGATCCGCGCAAACAGAGAATTTAGATGGTAAATTTAGGTCTCTATATCAAGCCCCTTACCCTTATAGCTCGAATCGCATCATTGTAGCCGTGATCCCGCCGTAATGCTTGGACGTCGCAAGAACTGGAGAAAATTGGAGTTTAGGTCTCTATACGCCTCTTCCTCGCAGCTGCCTTCCCAACTAGCTCTGTTCACGATTGGATCGCATAGACGGTGCCAGAGGAAGAAAAGAATGGGAGTTTAAGGTCTCGATAGGCCGTGATCTTTCGCGTGAGAGCCTTCCTAGTTACAATATCGCCAACAACGACGTTCCTACTAGCTCTAGTCGAACTCGTTTGACTTCCAAGTAGCAATCACTATGTAAGCAACGATCCCTTCCCACGATCTCAACACCGAAGGCGACGAGAACTCTGAGCTGCAACAATCGAGTGGTAATTTCCCAGATTTTGAATGCTCTGATACTAATTTGATATGATCCGATGTCAAAATCGGCATACTTTTTGATAGAAATTAGGGCAAACATAACATTTCTTCAAAAAATCAAGCAACTCAACAAGATTACATAGTAAACACCTACAATTCGAGAGATAGGCGATCTGTCCCAATTCCTACAATTCAAGAGGAAAAAAATCTCTCCCAAACCATAAATCAAGACTCAAAACTGAATCTCATGCTAACTCTTATACCAACCAATAATAATAATAAAAGACAAAATTGTCATTATGCGTATAAAAGACAAATTTGCCCTTACGCTAGGCGCCCACGTAACACATGGCCGCAGAAAAAATATTCATATGCCATGAATGCATACAAGATAGTATTTTCAAGTGTTGTGTTCCAAATTATTGCACGCGTAACTGTTTTTATGTTGCACAAAGTCCACGAGAAATGCTAAACAATGCAAAATGAAAAAAATTACTAGTGTTCCAATTAAAATTTTGCAACAAACAATTGACACAATTTTAAGAAAATAAACCCTAAGCAATAACTAAGAAAACTACAAGGGAGTATAATGAGTGCATTAGCCTCCAATGGTGCAGCCTCAGCTTTGAGAAGAGATTATTTTTGCGATTCAGCTCATTGAGCTCTAGTAAATAGCCTAAAAAACCTAATCATTGCTCCAAACATGTCCATCCCTAGAGGAAGTAGAAAATTATTGATTATTTTGAGTCTAATACCTGCCCAATTGAGCCATAAGCACAGATATTCAGCCCCACTTGTCCAAACCAAATAAAAAGAGTAATGAAGAAAAGGGTCTGCATCGCATCCAAATTTCAATACAATATTAGAAGGAAATAGAAGTACTGACAATGGCAAGAAGCCTAGGTTCAAATTTGCAAAATGATACTAAGGAGAATATAGAAATGAACAAAAATTAATTATATAAGCATAAAGTCATAGAAAGGAAAGTCTAAAAGCATGGGAACATGGGAATACCGGCCTAAAAGGCACACGTAAATGCATTGATTTGGAAGTTCAAAATATCACATTGGTGCTAATTTTTTAATAGCAATGTTTCAAGTGTTACGAATGTAATTATCCCGGTTTTTTAATCCAAATGGCACTTTTATTAATGCCATTATACAGCGAGGCCATGAACTGGAACTAATTGGTGCCACAAATGCCAAATATGCTAGTGGCTAAACAGCAAAGAAATGGGTCCAACATGTTCCTTCTCACGTTGAATGAAACCAAGATGTGCTTTATACCTCTATCCTAAGCTACAATGCGCAATTCTAGTATTCTCAATCTCAAGTCGCAAAATCGAGGGGGCCTGATGGTAACCTCATCTCTGCCCCCATAATTACGGGTTGTATCAACCCTTCAAATATCATAGCACAAATGTGTAAGAACACTCATAATTATTATTGCATAGTTTATGGGAGCAGGAAACAATAATTATTTCTATACTATTCCATACGAAACATTACAAGATAAATAGCGGGGAAAGGCTACCGAATTAGGCAGGATATAAAATCCCCATTCTAACATCAGGAAATAGAATTACAACTTACCAACAATAAGAAATTTCAAAAGTAGGTAATACTAACAAGGAAGACACTAAAAAATAAAACTTTATAAACTTTTAACCCCCCTTCTCTCTCTCTCTCTCTCTCTCTCAAGTTAGAGCAAAGACATATATCATGCCCACAAAACTTGGCCTGAAAAGTCCTTTTGTGAATATATCCTTTATATGTTAAGTAGTAGGAATAAATAACATGCAAATAGCTCCACAATCAATTCTATCTTAAAAAATGCCTGACAATCTCCACATACTTTGTGGTATCATTCTGCACTGGATTTTCTGCAATGCTTATGATTGTTTTATTGTCACAGTACAACTTCATTGACATGTTTATCGTTATCTGCAGCTCTTCAAGAATTCTCTTCAACTATAGCAGATCACATACTCCATTAGTCATAGCCCAATATTCTACCTTGCACTACTCCTTGTAACCACATTTTGTTTCTTACTTCGTCATGTAACCAGATTTCCTCAAGCATACATACAATATCCAAAAGTCAATATTATGTCAATTGCTTATCCCGCCTAATCTGCATCAATATATGCATCTATGTTTATTTATGTGGTCTTCTGAAATAGTAAGCACTTGTCTAATGTACCATTTAGGTATCTGAGAATCCTATCAATAGCATCAAGGTGT